TAAGTTTTGATTGATTAACGAGGTAATCGATCAGTGCATTTAAACATATCAATTCTTCCATAGCAAATAGTTTCAACTTTTCTCTGAAAAAACTTGTAAATTATCTTGTTAAAGCGTATGCTACAGAATTTTTTCAAAAACATTTTTGTTATTCAGAAACCATAGGCTGACTTTAGAAATGAAGTATTTTTGCAATTATTTTTGATAAAATGATTAACAAAAGCTTAATTTTTTGAACATTAAGACAAATAATTTACTCTTTATCTGTCAATCATACAGCAATTTCCTCTCGACCTTTATCATTTTTTTTCTTTCTTCTTCTCATCGTTGTATTTTACCCTTATTATACAGCAATAAATTTTTTTTTTCACTACTTTTGTGTTACACAGATCTTATATTTTACCAGTTTTATTGGTAACAAACAGTAACACAGCTATCAAAATGCCAACTGAAATTAGAGACAGAAATGCTGAATCTTATAGACAACTTGAAAAAACAAATACATTCACATCTTTTTTAATATATAATAGCAATAAAAACTATTGACAAAAGTATTCTGCTTGAATACATTTTATCTTAATTAACTAAACTTTTATTAGTCATAAGTTATGATAAAAAATTTTCAATTGCTTTCTTACGTACATTCTTGAAAGTAGCGAAACACTTTTTTCACTGTCAAACAGCGGACTATGTTGTATTTCTTCTAGAAATTTTCTGCATTCTGACTTTTTGTAGGCTTTCTAAAAGTGTACAAATTTTTACGGTTTTGGGCATAAACAACAGCATACAGTTCGCATTTTATAGCGGTCAATTTTTTAGCATCCACTTGCTATAATTCTCAGAGCATTTCAACAAACTTGACTTGATCTAATACCTCCGCTTGGATGGTCATAAAGTTATTGCTTCTAAAAGCAAGTAAACTTTGCAGTTATAAGTTAGAAGCTTTGGAATGGCAAAAGGATATGCCTTGTCACACACTGCCACCACTTCCAATAGAACTTTGAAGACGTAATGCAGGACTTCAACTCTGATCGTTAACATAACCAATGTTCAGAAAACAAGAAACATTTTATGCGGATTATACGATTGCATAAATTGCAGAACAATGGCTACCAAGTCAGAGAACTTTTTAAAATTTTTGAAAAGGAATTCAACTTTTTTATTTTCTGATTACTTTTCTAACTTGACTTCAAAAATCACAATTAAAAGCAATAAACCCTGACAGTGCAAACATTAAACCCTGACACACTTGTTTTCTTGCCGGAAAATAAAAGCGCAACTTTTCAAAATTACTTTTTAATGAAAACTTATATGCTTTGAATAATAAAAAGTTTCTTTGAAAAATTAGTGTGGAGGCTGTTCAGCAATATAGTTCCACACTTTACAGAGAAAGTTAGAGACATCCAATACGAAAGCTCTGGAAGAAATGTATTTATTTAGACTTTTTCAATGTTTTGATTTAGAGAAACGCTTCATGTGCCACGGATAATTCCACCATGGATCCCAAGTTGTCTGTAAATCTTCTGACGTACTCGTTTCTTCGGCAGTCATTGTTCCTGCACTCGCAGGGGACTCATTCGTTTCTTCGGTAGTCTTTGTTCTTGTACTCGCAAAGATATCTAAAAAACTGGTTTCATGCATCACAGAAGACGAAGTTTTTAGAGCAGTACGAGTCTTCTGTTCTGTTCTAAACTTTTAACTCTAGGTGATCTAGTGGATGATGGTTTAGCTTGTTTTCGTACCTTCTGTAAACTTTGAAAATAATCTTTACACTTTTTTCTCTTCATTCTTGAAAAATATGTGAATTTTTTACCTGAGACTGTGCTTACTAAGTTTGGAATATCTGTAAAACCATCTGGAATCGTGCTAAACGTTTCAACAGTTGGCTCTTCTGTTGTTGGCGGCAGTTCATAGTCGGGGAAGCCTGCAGGTCTTAGATACATTTCTGCGAAATTGACAGGATTCCCGTTCCATTCAGCATATGTCGATAGATCACCCCTGCTAGGAGGCTCCTCACACTTATATCGGACTCCATTTAAGTTTGCGTAACCACAGTTGCTATTTTCGTCGTACCACCAGCCAGTGTTTTGGAAATATCCGGGACAGTCAGCTGCAATTTACCCAAATTTTTTGTGAAGTTTAAAAAAGCATTTTATAAAAAAATAACTAATTTATCAAGAAATTTGTAGCAATAGATTTTTTTAATGGTTTTTTCTCCAATAAAGTAACTCTGATTTCGCGAAAAATAAAAAATTCATATTTGCCAGCTAACACTTAGATGAGTCGTAAGCGACGAATTTAGGTCCAATTTCATTATCCCAACGCAACCAGCCGTCATTGTATGTCTGCTGAGACTCAGAACCCTCACAAGGAGCCGGGATCACAACTGCATAATCCATATAAGAGCCTAGCACTTTGAAACTTGGGTAGATGCATTCAGTGCTTTTTTCCGGCATCCATTTTGAACGACAGCGGTGAAGATCAACTCTCAGACTGGAAAATTCCGAGCATTTTAATGATAGAATTAAAAATCCAGTAGACACAACATTTATGCAATTCAAGAATCCATTATCGATTGCCTTTCCAGTTGACGTAGCTCATCTACTCTAATAAGTGAATTGAACTTACTCTTTGTTAAACTAAGTTATTACAAGACTTGTTTTATGTCGTTACGCGTGAAAAGCAATGTTTCTGCATAAAGAAAATTTTTTTTTCAAATGCTGATCCATTTGGCTGTCAGTTTTGTATATTACAATTGATTTTTTTAAATTAAACTTCTTCAGCAAAAAACTTTTGTCAGAAATACATTTTCAAAAATTTTGCGCTATTCTTACAGATAAGAATTTTCCAGTTTCAGAAACTTTCTTGAAAAACCATTAAAAATCTCAAATACCACCATCAAAAGTGAAATACGGCTAGAGAACTTCCTAGTGCTAGGCAATAATTTCTTTCGCTGCCTTTTCTTAGTAAAACTTGTAGCCATGTTAAAATAATGTTTCATGCTCTGCAAATTAACTAAGATAAAGCATATTTTCCAGTTATACTAAACACTCTAGTCGTAGAAACCTCCCCGCGAGCAAAAACGCGTCTAACTATCGAAATACCTTGTATCCATTTCGTTAGTCATTTGGTGAATTAATTCCAACCCAAGCCAGACTTCCTGAAATTCTGGTTCCCCAAAACCATCAACGTACTGCCAATATTTTTTGTTTGAGAACAGATTGCTTTTGGAAGCACTCATTACTGTCCATCCACCGCCAAAAGTTGTCATATCACAATAAACAGAAATTGGCTCGTACTCGTAATGTCCAGGAAATGAGTACGCGGGCTTTATTCTTAAAACATGTTTTAATAAACGTTTCTCTTCGTAAATGAAAAAATTCCTTTAGAATCTATAAATGTGCACTTGAACACTAGAATGCTTACTCGTAGACTCCACTCTTGCTAATGTTATGATAAACCATTAGATCTGCACAGTGCCTGAGCGGTAAATAATGATCGCAGTTGGCACTATCGTTGTAATACGAATCGCATTCGCATATATAAGAGCCTGAAAACTCAAGTTACCGTTAAATTAATTATATTATACAGCCTGAGTGAAAAATAATTTCTAACATAGCTTCAATGTGCTTTTATTATCAAATTTAGCTCAAGAAAAAGTTCTATTAACCAATGGTATTTATGCATCTTCCATGGCCGTTTTCTTGGTTGCAGACCTTAGGATCCTTGCATTCATTGACGTCGGAACACTGGAAGCCATCTCCAGCAAAGCCCTGAGAATCGTAAACTTCATGCGTAAGCAGTCGCAGTGGATGATTTTAAAGAAAATTAAATAATTACTGATAAGACTTCTCAATTTTTACATTATTGCAAACACATTGATACTTATGTTCCTTGTTTATAACGCATTCAGCAGATGCATCACACGAAGTATAGAATGAAGAATACGTTCCGTTGGTACAGTAGTTTATTGTGGTACAATTTTCACTTAACCATACTTCTCCAGCTGAAATAAGAATTACATTTACTGCACGATAAAACAGGCTGAATACTTCTCACCGAAATATGCGAAGCAAAAGCAATTTACCGCCGTGATAGTTCCCGTCATTGTCTTTACATCCACATTCATCCAGACGAACACATTTCAGACCTTCTGGGTCTGCATTGTCTAGATAAAATCCAGGCTCACACTGACATCCTTCCGTACAAGCTTAAACAAAAATCATACTGATTATGATCTGTGGAACTGTGAAATACGTAACAGTCTGATAAAACGAACGTTCAGAACATTCTCCTGAGTAGTCTGGACTTCCGCAAGTAAGCGGACAGCCGGTAGCGCAGGAGCTGTATGTGAGGGGATATGTACATGTAAGGTCACAGTTTTCTTGAGATCTCCAATCCAGTGGAGTATCTGGAAAAGTGCTGCTACAAAAGTTGCAAAACTACTTTGCTTTAATGACTGAGGAAAAAACCTCGCATTGAGAAAGTGCAAAGTAGAAAAACTGTAGTAACCGTTTGGTTAAGATAAAAGGTTTTTTAAAGGTTTACTTGGAATTTCAGTTTGACATTTCTTCGCAAATTCAGCAAGGGCTTTGCAACGTAGTTCAGGCGCGTAACAAACATCCATGGCGCATTCTTCGAAAGAGTTTTCTATTACATCATATCCTAATCCACGGCAAGCTGCAAATGGCCCAAATCCACGTTCTGCTTGTCTTATGTTCAGACAAACCTGTCGCGCGTCATCCAAGTTCTGTAATTCCAGTGAATTTTTTGTGCACAAATTTATTGCCACTTTTAAAAATTTTTTAAAGAACTCTTTTTCATAGACTAAATTTTGCAAAAGTTGCAAAGAAATTCGCTAGTTTTATCACAAGAACGTTTACAACTTATGAAGTTACAAAAACACTCGTCTATTACTTATTTATTATATACTCTTGTGTTCTTCTCATTTCCCACTCACAGTTGTCTTCTATTAAGATGATTTTGCAACTCACACAAGGTATCGATCCGTTGTAAATTTCCTCGCCGGTTACACAAGCTCTATAACCGTCCGTGAAGTCTTCTGTAATCCATGTATCTCCGAAAATTTCTGTGAATTGTTTATAATTGTTTGAACATCCATAAGCTTCGTACATTTGGCCGTCTCTGCAACAGTACGGACGTCGTACTAGGTCTTTCAAAAGAAAGTTAAAAAACAAAATAATGAGAGGAAAGCAGTTTTTAAAAGTCTATGAGTGATGGAAGGCTAAGGAAACGATACCGCCGAATAAAGTCATCTTCGCAATCGCCATCTATGTTTCCTCCGACACCACAAAGTGTTCCGTTACCTCGGTATAGCTCGATGTTAGGAACTGTGACACACATGTATCCATCGGAAAACGTCACCTCCAGATATGCTCTGTTATCAATTTTTACCATTCCGTTGTAGCGTTGTATTCGAAGCTTAAAAAAAGAAAAAACGATATTTAGGGTTATGGCGTAACACCTTTGATCACTTTTCTGATACTCTTGTCAGTACCGTTTTGAAAAACAAAAGTTACCAGTAACGTCAACTTTTTCTACTTGTTCTTCTTTTTAAAAACTGAATGAAAATAAATTAAATTTATAAAATCAAATTTACTAACACTGTAGTTGTATCTATTTGGGTAGTAATATGTCGGATAAACTTCAATACCGTCAACAAGAACTTTCAGGTCTTTGTCAACGTGAATTTTTCTTCCGCGCATTAAAACTTCTGCTTCTCGGACATAAGAGACTCTGCAAATTAAAAGAAATAAAAACAAATGGAAAAGCAGGTAATTAAAAGTCGTGTTTTCAAAAGATTGGAAGTCGCGTTTTTAAAAGACTGTGTGACTTTATTGCAATACGGCGACATATTCTCAATGATGCTAAAATAAAAAAATTATTAAATTGAAAGAATTTTCAGTTGTTTAATTGCACTAATACTTGCCTGGCAGAAGGATACGTTCGCTCATTTTTCGCCTTAACCTCGAAGTACTCGTTTGGATCGACTGAATCCTTGTCACAAAATTTTACATAATCGTACGGGCATGTACCCATATATTCAAAGTGCTGTCCATCAAACGTGGTGTAATGAGGATCTCCGCTCATACATGTTTTCACTGTTCTTAACGAACATTCTCTGAACGGGTCTCCTAAAAACCACTACAGCTTTTACCACCCTGATTTGAGTTACATTACAGTTTACTAATAAAAATTTTAATAAACTTTCAGAAAAATTATTTTAAGAGGCAGATGAAGTAAACTTTTATTCATTATTAGATTCTGGAAAAAGATGCTCTTTTTAGGGTTTGTTTTTTCTTTATTTACTTCATTTATTGTCCAGACTTTTACTTTATAAAACTGCGTTCGCGTTTTGTACAATCTTTTGAACACACTTAATTTGCTTTTAGTCTTTAAACTTTTAAAATTTTTATTAACTGCTTATTACCTGAAAGCCCCTGTTGGCAAACACAATTAATCTGATGATTCTTAACAAAGCATACTGCGCCATAACCACAACTGTTGTCTTTACAAACCACATCTACTTCACAGTTCTTCCCTGCTTTATCGTCTGGGCAGTCACATCTAAAATGGAATTGTCTTTCAGCTTGCTCTTATTAAAACAAAAGTGTTTTATACCACTTTAAACTACTAAGAGTGAATAAGACTGTACTTTAGTAGCTGTCTACCTGTAATCTGTTATTCCCACTGGTGTACATTTGCTTCCGTATAGACAAGGATTGCTGTAACAAGCTGTACAGTTATCATTTACTGCATCTCGTAGATCTTGAAGCTCACGTTTCATTACGCTTATCATACTACGCATTTCCTTTGGAGAACTGCATTTTAAGGGATCTGCTGCATTACATTGTTGTTGTTGTTGTTGTGGTTCACTGCAATCATCATCAGATTACACTTTCTTCTCAACTTATTCTTCCTTTTAATTAGATGAATACAATTTAATTAAATCATATTTCTCAACTAGTTTATTTTTTTTTCTGATATTTACTCCTAAAAAACTATAAAGGATTACAATTTTTTTCATTGTTCAAAAGATAACGTATATATAAAGTATCAAGAACTCGGTTACTCGGTCGGTGAATCAATATCCGTCAGTTATAGTAAAAAAAAAAAAATTTCTCTATATATTAAGTTAACAAAAATTGAACTTGTTTTCAGGTTATTGAATTCCCCTGAAAATATTAAATTTTTTTCAGTTACATTTATATCAAAAATTAACTGCAACAAAGAAATGCATACAGTTTCTTGGTGGCTTCTATTGATACCAAATATATACAGAATATCAGAAGTACGGGAGTGAAGCAGCCAAACATTTTCTGACGAACACTGAAGCACCTCCAATATCAATCAGTCTTATTTATATCGTACAATTTTTATACATTTGTAATTGTTAAGATGTTTCAATATTAATAAAGCTTTTCAGCATGATTATAGTGTTTTGTACTTAATAGAAAAAATACCTCCTTCTTTGTCAACAGTAATAAGCTGTTGTAGAATCATTGATATTTTGAACTGATTAATTTCAAAAAAAAAAAAA